TTTATATAATTTTGTAGCTCACTACTGTGGGTATAAAGCATGTCTGCTGTAGGCAGAAGAACGCAACAGCTGAGCGGGAGGCTTGCTCTTCATGTGTCTGCATCAGTTTACGAAGATGGGTCTTACAAGCACCAGCACGTGCTGAGTACCATGCTCTGTGGGGCCCCAGGCTTCTTTCTGCTGAGTGCTCCTGGCCCTCTGCAGCTGCAGCCCAGGCCTCCCAGCTGTGTGGGAGTGAAAGGTGAGCTGGCTCTCTCCCGCTGCAAGAAGAGCCCTGGCTCTAGACTGATCATGGGGCGCTCAGCACAGGAGGGCTCTGCACCACAGGTCCTGGGGGTGGGGACCACAAGAGCCAGATCCCTGCAGGCAGCCTCGATGGGGTTGGAGGCCTCTGTCACTGGGCATGGCTTGTGTGTTCACCAAGTCCTCCTGCTTCAGTGGTGGATGGACGGGCAGAAGTGGCGGGGACAAAGTGATACCCCTTTTCTTTTCTTTTATTCTCATCCTGGTGGGAAACCCGGCTGCTGTGAGGCTTAGGGCTGTCTTTGCCATCTTCTCTGAGGACTCTACATGGTAGAAGAGTGATGAAGCTCCTGTGCTGTCACTGGCAGGCAGTGACTGTGCTCCAAGGGAGCTGTGTGCCATCTTGGTTTTCCTCTGTGTTTCAGCAAGATGGCAGCCAGTGTGTTGCCCAAGATGGGAAGACATGAGAAAATATGTTCTCACTTTAGCAGGCACTGTTCAGTCTTGGATAGTTTACCTTTCTAAGATGATATTGCTTCACCTCAACCTTCTCCTGTGATCTCTTAGTAGTTAGTGTGGGGCCAAAAGATCTGTGTGTGTTAAGCATCTGTAATAACTGCTGTTACTGTGGGCTTAGAGCTTCTCAATCCATGGTAGCTAGTTGGAGCATTCACTGGCCAACTGGTTGTGTACCTTTGCACAATTGATTCCTCCATGTGTCGTGAGTCTCGACCGATCTCCCCAGCCACCAGAAAACCAGAGCAACATTTCAGCCTTTGCGTGCCTCTCCTCCTCCAGGAAGCTCTCCCGACCTCCTCTTGTTTATCTCCCCACACTTTGTGCTGCTGTGCTCAATGGTCTTGTATCTGTTTTCCTTGGTGACTGGTGTGCTCATTGGAGCTGAGAACCATGCCTTAACCTCAGCCATGCCCGTGGCTTCTCCTCATCTGTCTCTGGGGTGACTTTGTTTTTTTGTTTTTGTTTTTGTTTTTCTTCCGGTACCAGGAATCGAACTCACGACCTTCTGCTTGCCAGGCAGGCACTTTTGCCACTGAGCTAAATCCCCAGCCCCTCTCTGGGGTGACTTTGGATGGGACCACAGCTCCTTTTGGGGAGATGTGAAGGCCTTGGCCTAATGAGCACAGGGCGAGACCATCCTGGCTTTGTGCTATCTAATAGTGGCCCCTGGATGACAGAGGCCAATGGAAGAGTGACCTCCTGTCAGAGGAAGGAAGAAGAAAGACACAAGTTGTGGGAAATCTTATTGTTTTATTACCCCACTGGTTATGGATGTAGTAGTCATTCACTAGCTTTCAAAGTGACTTTTCAGTAATTCTTTGTGCATCACTCAGAACGCTTTCATTTGAAGAGTGAAGGAAAAGACAGCCTTAACTTCCTTGCAGCCTGAGCCAGAGAGGGCTCCATAGTGCAGGGCCAGAGGAACCTGGGGCGAAGCAGGCACAGTGCGATCCCAAGGACCAGGGTGACCGGACCCCATCTCTACTTGTTCCTTAGCTTTCTTCACAGGCTTCAGACCACAGAGATCCTGGTGGAAAGACTTCTTTACCAGCTCTGTCAGAGTCCAGGTCCGGGCCATTGGTTTCCAGTCAGCCCCACTTGTGCGTCTGTCCCCTGGTAGGAGAACAGAAGTCTGTCACTTAGGAAAGGGATGGAACCCTGAGCAGGCAAAGGCTGTGGGTGTCCCCTCCATGTGCTGCCTGGGTGACTTCTTATGTTTGGGGCTTCTCTGCCTCTGTCTCATGCTCTTGCCCTCCTTCCTGATTTGCACAAGTTATGAATCCCAAGCTCCTGCTCTTTTTCTTGTCCTCTTTCTCTCCTGGTCACCTTCTCCATTCCCATTACCTACTGTCTCCTCCCAGGAGAGCCTGGCTTTACTCCTGGCTTCTGCCTCCTCAGATAAAACTCCCTGCTGGTGACTGGCTGGTATCCCACAGGCACTGTGACTCCAAGGGTCTGTACCAAACCTCCAACCTAGCCCAGCATGGAGGGATTCCCAGGTCCCCGACACATGACCAGAGTCCTCCTGCTCTCCCAGAGCTCACACTTGTGTGCTCTGCACCTCCTGTGACCGTGTATGGTTTCTCCTTGTGGTTTCTTGGGGACCCGTGCCCTTCACACCACTTTTGCAGGTCATCCTGTCACAGTTGTTCAGGTCCTGGGTAGAAGGGGCAGTGAGTTCTTTGTTTCCTTCCTGGCTCCAGACTTTTAGGGTCTAACACATATTTGTGGAATGAAAGAATAACTCATGCAAGGTGTAGCATAGTTGCATGGCTACTGCGCTTAATACTGTTAAAGAAAGCCTGAGCCTGGCAGCATTTAGAGTACTAAAGGCAGACTTTACTCAGGAGCTATGGCAAGAGAGGTGTGTTAGGGTTCTTTGGAGAAACAGAGCTCATAGGATGCATAAGAAGATGGATCTGTATCTGCCTGTATCGAAATCCAGTCTGTTCACTGAAAGGCACACTCATGGTGAGCAATCAGCACCCACAGCTATGGAGACAAAGTCCCCCTCTGGCCATTGTCAGCTGCAGACCACGGAAGACAGTGACGGTGGAACTGGATCAGAACCTGAGAACAGGGAGCTGGTGGTGTGGACCCAAGGCCAGGCTCTGAGCAAATGAGGGAGGTGTGGAGGCCAAAGTGAGGCTGGAGACATGGGGACGGTCCCTGCATGCTGCATCTTTTTCTCTCCAGCCCAGCAGGTGGACGGTACCATCACACAGGAAGCACACCCAGAAATGCCATCTCCCCTGGGCTCCCAGGACTGATCAGGTTCACATGGACTTCCCCATCCCTGGGAAGAGGCTGTGCTCTGGGTCCATCAGGGACCAGGCAAAGAATGGGGCAGCAGGGGGTCCCAAGAGGAGACTCAGGTGGGGAGATTTTGGGTGCATGGACCTGACTGGGCTCCCACTGTGGACCTGATGGGGTTCCCATGGACATAATCGGGCTACTGCTGAGAGCCACTGGGTGACGGGACTCAGGGACGCAGATGAGGCCTTGGAGCGGCAGTGTGGGAGGCAGAGTGGGTGGGAGGCTCTCTCTGGAGAAGCCCCAGGGTTTGGCTGCAGCAGAGCATGGGCCCAAGGGTGGGAAGGTGGGTGTCAGGGTGAGGCTGGGCGGTGAGCCATGGGGACACTCAGTCTCCATCAGTGTCTGCACTCTATGCCCCCGGGGTTTACTGTCACCGTCTGTGGACTTCAGATGTGGACACCCATGTGAGCTCTCTCCCCAGCACTTCTGCAGAGACAAGCTTGTGCAGAAGCAGAGAGTCTTCTGGGAAGTCAGCTGGAGCAGGAGGGAGTGAGGACAGCAGTGAGGGGCTGCTTGCCAAGCACTTCTGAGTGTGACTGGGGCCTGGCTTCTAAATATGAAGTATTCGACATCCCCAGTGGACTTTCCCTGGCGTCCTGCACCCCAGGCCCATGGGAGGTCCCTGGTGAGTGTGCCCTGCGTGTTGTGGAGGCCCGTGCTACTCAGCACAGCACCCGAGGCTCTCTTCAGTGCCTTAGTGGTGTTGTGCCTCCCATCATGTAGCTGCTGGTGGCTCTGGGGGTACGGCTGTGCCTGGAGGGTGTTAGAGGTCCCCCGATCTGTGAGCCTTTGCCGCCGTATCCCGTCTGTCCCAGCAGTGACTATGCTGCCCTTTTCTAAACAGGAAGTCTCTTTGGTTGTGGTTCGGGTTTTACAGTCAAAGTATAAAACAAGTGAAGATGAAAGCCCAACAGGCAGGGGTCCAGCTGCCATGCCCCGCGCAGGGAGCTGTGTTGTCACCTGGGGTTCTGTTCTCACTCTCATCCCCAGGCTGGGCCTGGGGCTGTGTTGCCCCACACCTTCGAAGCTTCCTGGTTGATGGGCAGCTATCCTCCTCTCAACACCATTGTTCTGGCTACCTGCTGGCTAGAGCTGCTGCACATAGGTCTGGAGATGCTGCTTATCTGTGCCAGCACCCACAGGGCAAGGCGGGTGTCTGCAGTGGTGTCCCCTCTTGCTGCTTTCCCAGTCAGAAACGCATCATCCTCTGACTGCGTGGGAATAACGATAGGAGGGACTTCCCTTCCAGGGTCCTAGATGCGCCTGTGGTTTCGGTCAGCTCTGTAGTTTTCATTTCCTGAAGAAAGAAGCACCCTGTGTGTCCCAGTAGGGCAACTTCCCGAGCTCCTGCAAGTGGCAGTGGGAGGCTCAGGTCTGCATCTTCCATGCAGTGGACAGCCCCGCTGCTCCCTTCCTCCTCTTTTTTCTTTTTGGTACCGGGAATAGAACTCAGCACCTTGCGCTTGCCAGCCAGGCGCTTGTGCCACTGAGCAATATCCCCGGCTCTCCCTTCCTCCTCTTACATGGCTCAAGGAACCTGAGCCTGGAAGTATGTCCCAGGGTCTCCCCAGGGGTGAACAGATCGTTCCCATCTGCTCTTCCCTAGCCGGCCCACAGCTGTCTTCTCGGTCTATTAGCTTGGGATCCACTGTTCTGAGCTACAGGGAGCACTTCACAGGACAGTGCACTCAGCCTCCTCGTGCAGGGCTGGGCCTGCCATCATTGTCACAGCCCTGTGCTGCTGCAGGCTCCTGGGCTGAGAAGCTTTTCTGGAGCTTGCTTGTTTCCACTTTGACCGTCCTGGACTCCATCCTCTGGGCTGCAATTGCAGCAGAGGCTTGAACACCGTGTGTCCTCTGCAGCCCCTCTATGGCCACTTTGCCATGTTCACACGTGTGTGTCCCCATATCCCTCTCTTTCAGTGCTTATCAGCTGAGGAGATCTTCACCCTGCATGGCTTCTCCAATGTCACCCGGATCACCAGCGCTGACTTCCCCAGCATCTGCCCGGCCGTGCTGCAGCAGCTGACCTTCCACCCCTGCGAGGCCGAGCCCAGGCCCTCGTCCAAGCCCAGCCTGTCACAAGGTGCGCAGCCTGCTCCTGGGGTTGGGGTCAGGCCAGGGAAGATGCTCAGGCCTGCCTGTCCCTGCTGTGCTGTTCTGCGGTCCGGTCCACAAAGACCACATGGAGATGCGGCACCGAAGGTGCCATGTGAGCAGCTTGTCCAATGTGCTGGAGATCGAGACACAGAGGGGATGAAGCAAAGAAGAGGGAATTCTCTGGTTTGCAAGTGCTTAGGATGTTAAAACTCAGTTCTGCCTCCTAAGTCCACTTTTTAGGATTATATCCAGGGCACTTAGAGCAGTGTGGAATGAGTCCTGGGATTAAGGAGCGTGTGTTTATGCTGTACATACCAGGGTACAGATAGACCATCGGGCTTATTACTAATCAGTTAGTGCCCACTGCCTTTCACAGGCGGTCAGTTTATCTGGTCAGTTTATTGAGGTGACCATGCACTGACTCCTCAGGGCCCTTGACTCCTTATAAGGTGACATGTAGGGTCTAAAAGGTACCACTGTAGACACTGCATTTTAAAGAAATAATCTATTCTGAAGAAAACTTAAAATACAAGAAAACGATTGCTTGCTTACTGTACCACTCACAAATTCAAACACATGGACGAGAACTTCGGCCCCCATAAAATGTCAGTGCTCAGCCGCTCTGTTGGCCAGGTACATGTAACTCCTTGATATTACAAGACTGGTAAGTAGGGCACCCCATGGGTATTTTAATTTTCACCCATTTATTTGTTAAATACACGTTTGTTGGGTGCCACCCTGAGCAGTGTTCTCTGCAGATGCTGAGGTTTCAGTAGCAAACAGGAAGGATGTTCTGCCCTTGAAGGCTTTACAGCATAGGGAATGAGGCCTATTTAAACAAACAAACTAACCAACAGGGCTGCCTCAGAGTGCTCTGTGCTAAAACGGAGACAAAGTGGGTAGGAAAGGCAGGGTAGGAATGAGCTGAGGCGGGCAGAGGTAGCCCACCCTGCAGAGGCCTGGCTGAGGGAGTACCAATCCTCTGTGGGTGCAGGGAGAGGTGGCCAGGGCTATGGTGGGCATAGTGGGCAGCAGGCACAGGGCATTTCTATGGAATGCAGTGTGAAGTCACTGTGGGTGCAGATGTTAGCATTGTGATTTTATTCCCATCGGGACAGGAGTGTTCTACCCCGTCACGGGGCAAGAGCAACAGCCAGGAGACTGGGAGGGGGCTGTTCTGTGCCAATGTGCAAGGCCTCTGGGACTTGGACCAAGATGGGAGGAGGTAAGTGGACAGGTGCAGGGTGACTGGCTGATTGTGCTGAGTTAGTTTGTCTGTGCATTGGACACGGGACAGGAAGAGGAGCCCTGGCTTGCGTCAGAGAGATGCTGCACGGTTGACCCTGTTTTCGGGGATGAAGATGAGGGGAATGGTCCTTGTGGGGTGAAGGAAGCAGTGAGGAGTAAGAATAGATTGGGTGCACTCACTCTGAGACCAGCCAGGTGCCCAGGAGGCATGGTGACTGTAGAGCTCACAGAGAGGAGCAGGCTCGTCCAGCGTGTGCAGAGATAGAGACACAAGGGCTACAACAGAGACGAGGGCAGTCTCCACGGGGGCAACGCCTGTTGAGCTTGCTCTTGAGTTGCTTTTTATGTGTGCATTGCTTGAATACCAGTAATGGCCAACAAGAATGATAACAGCCTATATTTTGGTAGCTGCTGTGCAACAGGTACTCTTCCAAGCATGGTATGTAGATGAGCCACTCAAATCTTCCAACAGGTGCGTGATGCAGACACTGCTTTCCTGCTTTACAGGCAAGAAACTAAGGTACGGGGAGTTCACATCTGCTCTGAGAAAGTTTCACATTTTGTATGTGGTGGAGACATTCAGCTCAGGTTGTCTTGGCTTCAGAACCCAGGTGCTCCTTGACCTGTACTTATGAATCCCAGGAATGGAAGTCACTGACCACAGTTTATCAGTACACCTTGCCATTTTATGAGTAACACTGCATAGTTTCAATGTTGAAATACTAGTAATTTTGAGCAATTACTAATAGCTTAAGCAAATATTTTTTTAGAGTATGTTTATATTTCTGCCAGTCTGTTTAATACAGTTTGCACTAAGTATTCAAAAATAAATTCAGCAAATACCTTGTTAGTTGTGTGCTAACCTTTACCCGTTGTCTGTGTAGACTCTGAAGTCAGCCCGTTGCTGTTCAAATCCCAGCTCTGTGTTGAGCACATGACTTTAACCTCTTTCTGCCCTGGTTTCCCCATCTAAAACAGTTCCTTTCTCATGGTGTTGCTATTAAAACACTTAAAATATCACACACACACACACAAACACACACTCACACTCAGACAAGAAGGGATGATCCATTGTTGAAAGGACAAAAGCCAAGATTTGGAGTTTGATGTTACAGAGTTAAGAAACACAGCCCACAAGAATCATAACCCTAAAATAAACAAGTATCTGGCACATGGTTAGGTGCTATATTAGGTCTCTTAGATAAATAAATTATATCCAACCTGTACACAATTCCAGGAAAAGAGGTTTCAGAAAAAGAAAACTCTTTTGTGCAGGTTAATTATTATTTTCAAGTGTTTTTAACTCCATTGGCTCAGGTGTTTTTGACTCCATTTCATAAGCCAGGAGGTGAGAACAGGGAAGCCGGAAACAGGAAGTAGGAGGAAGAATTCTAAAGTCAACACTACAAAGCCATAAAGCGGAAAAAGTCAACAATTCCTAGTTACAAGATCAGAAAGATATTGGACATTGGACAGAGAATCCAATAAAGAAAGCAGAACACTCTACTTTCCAAGATGTTAACTTGGCAATGTAGTGCTTTTTTTTTTTTTTTTTAATGTAGCTCAGGGCCTCCACACTGAGCAACATCCTCTGCCCTTTTTATTTTTTGCTTTGATACAGGATCTCACTAAGTTGCCCACACTGGGCTTTAATGTGCATCCTTTCTGCCTCAGTCTCCCAGTGGCTGGGGATTATAGATGTACACACTGTGCCCAGGTAGATTGTTTTTTTTTTGATGTGATATCTTACTAGTTTTTTTTTAATTTTAAAGAGACAAAGAAAAAGAGACAAAGAAAAACAATAATAAAACAAGATGATATGAAATTAACAATGGTTCTTATATTACATATTGTTATCTTCAAGGTAGTTGCTCAGATTACCAGGTACAGGCATGCAAAACTGATCAAACAACATAAGCATGAACTGTTCCTTTCAATGAACTAATAGAAATTAGTAGTACAATTATTTTAGCTATCTTGTGTATATACACATATCTTTTTCAGCTTATTAGTTTTATTTTAGCGCGGCTGTGTAATCTTGAGCAATTTCAGTTCCCTCATCTGTAAAAATGCATCTAATGATAACACCTTTTTTTTAGAATTTCTGAGGGCTTTAGATGAGTTAATATTTGTGAAGTGCCCCAAACAGTGCTGGCCGCAGAGTCAGAAGCTGACACCTTTGATCTTCTTGTTCCTGTGTTCATAGGTTCACTCCTTCCTTGGCCTCTGGATAATGCTTCTTTCTCAGCAAGAAATGTTTAAGAAATAATTAAGTGTGGTGGATTCTGATATAATACTGTACTTACTAGTATAGTGTCTGAGTTCATCCAAAAAAAAGAAAAATCAAAATTAAAGGAATACAAGGAGTCAGGCTACAAGAGTTTTCTGGACACATTTATGTCGACATTTCAGTGAATGGATAAAAGAGTTTCCTTTCTCTGAGAGCTCACATTTTATGATTTTTTTTGAAGTACTTTATAAAATTATATTGATGACCACAATAAACTGATGGTCCATTAACTTCTCTAATAGACAAATTACTTGTATTTTATCAATAATTTAATAGTCCAAAATTGCCACATTTTTGATGAGTTTATAGAATACGGCTTAATTCAGACAACAGATGAGAACAACAGAATGTTACCTCAAGCATCCTGAAGAGCACACTGTCCAAAGTCACAGCACAGCTGATGACCCAGACTGCACTCCGGAGCAGTAAAGCAGCCTCCTCATGCAGAAGCCAGGCCGAGAGGAGAGCCCAGGGCGCCTAAAGCCAGCTTGTTCTGCTCCCCGTATAGCAATGAGCTGAATGAACTGACACTAAGACAATGGTCTACTTACTATCTTTTTTTTTGAAACGATAAAAAACAATATTTATTAAAAGCTTACAGGAACAGTATTAATTGGTTTTATTCTTGTAAAATCTCCATGAGATAGGAGCTACTTTCAGTCTGTATTTTAACTATGAGAAGACAGGCTTAGGGAAGTAGAGGCCCATCCAGGGACGAGCTGGGTTTCAGCCCCAAATCCCTGTCCAGAGCCTGCCTGGCCATTGCTGTTCCGTGCAGCTTTTCATGGGAGTCAAAACTGAAGTCTGGGCTGTGTGTGGATCTATAAAATGAGGTAATAACAGAATTGTATTTCCTAATGTGCAAAGTGGGGGTGAGAATAAGGCCCGCTACATAGAGCTGTGTGCTCACTCTGCAAGCAAGAATAGTGTTGGGTGAATGTGAACACACTGTGGGCATTCGGTGTGAGCCACTGCAATTGATGTCACTTGGACATCTATTAAAATCTTTCGGGCTGACACAGGAGCAGAAGGGACCTTCTCTGAAACACATCACTGGCTGCAGTCCTATGCGTATGTGGAGGGGTCCAAGGGAAAGTTCATCTGAGTTTCTTCTTTGGTCCAGGTAGAGTAGAAAGGCAGATTTTAGGGGCTGGGGATTTAGCTCAGCGGCAAAGCGCCTGCCTGGCAAGCGCAAGGTCATGAGTACGGTTCCTGGTACCAGAGAAAAACCAAAAAAAAAAAAAAAAAAAGGCAGATTTTAAAAAGTAGTGTCCTGACGATGCAAGACAGGGGGACTGTGCAGTGTGCCAGTGTGGACACCTCCGCTGCCGCAGAGGTGTCCTGCTGGTCTGACAGTGTGCGCCAGGGCCCAGGAGTGGCTTTCTCATCAAGAAATACTCTCTCAGCGAGAGCATGTGTTGGCTGGAGGAATGTGTGCAGGCCAGATGAGGGATCGTGGCTGTTGGCTGCAGGTAGAGGGAATCACGGATGATGTGTGAGACTCAGAGCTTCTCCAAGGGGAAGTTTCAGGGCAGGGGCAGGGCTGTTAGGTGACAAGGCAGGACACGGAACGAGGGGATGGCTGGTGACTTGGTGGTCCTGGCAGACTGAGGCTGAAAGGAGGGCAAGCAGGAGGAGAGAGTCCCCGGTCAGCACTGCGGTGGGTCGTGTGGGTCCCCAGCACCCCTTATTATCTCTGCTTCTTATTGGCGCTTGGTGCTGGTGTATGAACTTGACACACCTGCATACCCCCGTGTGTGCACACACACACGTGTGCATGTGTGTTTCCCAGCTCTCCAGGCAGAGCACTGTGTGCTACCCATTGGCAGGAGCCACGGTGTGGTCCAGGTCCTGGGTCCGAGAATATTTGCTGGGCAGTTTTGTGGACAGAATGGCAGTGAGTTGTTCGGTATCCCTGAGGGCAACACTCTCTGGCGCTCCTGAGTCCCTGGGGCACAGCAGCAGGGTGACCTCCACAGGCGCAGCCCACACCCAGCAGCTGGCTACCTGGCTTGGGGTCTGGCTCTGTCTGTGACTTGGTGGCTTGCTTGGCCTCCATGTCCTTCGGCTTCCCCACCTGTGCAGAGAAGGTTGCAGTAGTGTCCTCTCCCCAGCCAAGAAGGAATCTAGGGGCTACCTCATGTTGTGCCAGGCATAGGCCTGCAGTGGTGTCACTGTGTGTTCTCTAAGGCCACTGCTGTCCGAGGCAGGGCCGGGCACTAGGGTCCTCAGGGTTGGTACCGAGGGCCACACAGGGCCACCTCCTCTTCCTTTCCCCTGTGCTCAGTGTGCAGAGAGCTTCTCAGACAAAGCACTTGGCACACAACTCAGGGCCACGCCACTCTCAGCCTCAAGTGACCGCTGCAGGCCACTGTCCACCTCCTCCCTCCAGGTTCTTACAGCAATGCCCTGGGTCCCAGGGCAGAAAATGAGGCCCAGGGGCAGCAGGTCAGCATGTACCTGGCTGAGGGGCTTGGGACGAGTGGGCACCATCTTACTGTCCCCTGATGCTCCTTGTCCCCGTGGGGACTCGGGCTTTCTGGAGTTTCTCTTCAGTCGGCAAACCAGTGCTGTGACCAGTGCTGTGCTGGTCACTGCAGCATCCTGGCTCAGCCTACCCCTCTGCCCCTGCTCTCACCCACATGGCCCCATGGCTCTTGGCCTGCTCCCTATGGAGGCTGGGTCTGTCCTGCTCTGCATCCTCTGAGTTCTGTGCAGACCCCGAAGCCTGTGATCCGGGACAATGTCAGGATGCAGCAGAGCGCAGGCGCTGTGTCCTTCACTATCTGTGGGGCTGTATTCATGTGCTGGTTTTCTGCCAAGCTTTGTTTTAAGAAGACACTTTGCATTTATGTGTGATTAGACCCCTAGGCCCCGGCTGACACTCTCTCCCCTCTCCTCTGACCCAGTCTGGGGCTACGGGCTGCTCTCAGTCACCATCATCAACCTGGCCTCTCTCCTCGGCTTGGTCCTGACACCGCTCCTCAAGAAGTCCTACTTCCCCAAGATCCTGACCTACTTTGTGGGGCTGGCTATCGGGACCCTTTTTTCCAATGCAATTTTCCAGCTTATTCCAGAGGTAAGGATGCTGTCTGTTTCTGTGAATAATTGTTTCTTTTACATGTTTTAGCACTTTGTAGTTTTTTGGTCTTCATAGCCCTCACAGTATGTTATGAGCAGGTTTGAAGTGGGATCACAGAGGTCGGGCTGCAGCAGCTGTGCCTGCTGGGGAGGGAGACAGATTCACATCCAGGAAGCCACAGTACACGCAGTCAGGCCCGTGACCTCACACGCTTCTGCTGTGCTTGGCAAATTTAATTTTTCTGCATATCTGTTTCTCTCCCTCTCTCTCTCCCTCCCTCCTTCCTTCCTTTCTTCTTACTTTTGTACTAGGGATTGAACCTCAGGCCTTCATATTGAGGTACATCCACAGAACTTTTAACTTACAAAAAAATTTTGGCACAAGTTCTTGCTAATTTGCTAAGTTCCTCAGGCTAGGATCCTACTACCTCAGCCTCCCAGAGTTCAGGTATTACAGGCATCCACCACCATGCCCACCTATTATTTATTTCTAAAGCATGTACCATGTCTAATTTAATAAAGACATACCATGAAATCCCCTCATATGTTTACTATCACTGGAGAAAAACAGGACAAGTGAGAGATGGGTTGACAAACTTCTCTTTTTCTATTAACTAAGGAAAAAACCAATAGCTGGTCAATGCACACCCAGTGACTTTCTTTCCTCTGATAAATGTGCTGTTGATCTGACATCCACTGAGGTGCACTATTCAATTAATAGACACTAGCTATGTGCCTATAAAGAAGGAGGAGGCAGGGCAAGGATGCCTGTCCTGGGGCAGGGACCCTGCCTGGACAGAGTGCCAGGACCTGCGTTCAGTATCAGTGCTAGGAAATAACCAAAGTTGCCTTAGTTCTCACAATGATATATGAAAACAAGGGCATAACTCCTTAGAGTTATAAATTTATGATTACTTGGTCTAGAAAGAATCCAGGAGAGTATTTACTTCAAACTCCCAAAAGAAGAGAAGACACAATTAAAATCCAGGGGATGAGATGATTTGCTTATACCCATACAGTGGGCTAGCTACACAGCTAATAGGGTAATGAGGATTTTCTGACTGTATGTGCTACATGTCACATAATGCAGTGAGTAGAATGCAATATTGTATGTACTTGTATTTATTACTTCACCTGTTTTCTGCGTGAAATTAATCTAGCTGGGCAGGGGGCATGGCTTGGGGGTGGAGCGCTGGTCTCCCCTATGCAGTGTTGACTTCCAGCCGCAGACTGCAAGACAAAACCAAACCAAACCCAAACCCAAACCAATATTCTGTGTACACTGGAGAGTCTATAGTTCTAATTCTAGGTTTTCTCGCTTGTTGAAAATGTAGCAATATAAAGGCTCAGTCTTTGTTGTAGCACCTCCCATTGGTTTATTTTGTGTGTGTGCAGAACTCCTTTCCTTTTGTTACTGTGTTTGACTTCATACCATCTGTGTCAGGAGTACAGACAGGTGTTTCTATGCCACCCCTGCAGTGTCCTTGTTATCGGACCCATAGGAGTCACTTACATGAAGAGCAGGCTGTGGGAGTCACCGGAGGTGTAGGCATAGGACATAACCCTGTCACCTGCTCCGTGCTACCACACATGGAAAGGAGTGAGCCAGGCATGTGGTGCATGCCTGTGATCCCAGCACTCTGGGAGGCTGAGGCAGGAGGACTGTAAGTTTAAGCTCAGCCTGGTCAATTTAGTGACTTAGTGAGATCCTGTCTCAAAATAAAAAATAAAAAAGGGCTGGGGATGTAGTTCAGTGCAAAGGTCCTGAGTTCAATCCCCAGCACTGAAAAAATAGTGTGAAGTTGTAGCTTTTCCCATATTACTGTCCCCTCTTGTTTCACTGTCTTAAGCTTATGAACCTCTTGTGTGTTAAGGTCATCTTGATTCTTCAAATTCCAGCTCTTGCTCTTTGTCCCCCCAACAATGGGTTGTTTCATTTGTGATCTTGGCAGGGTAATTCCCAGCGCTATCTGTCTGTGAGGGTAGACACAGAATCTTGGTAAAAACAGAAGTCATGGTATTGTTTTCCAAAGATTAAATTAAATTATGTAGTTTGACCTGAATTGCTTTCCCTTTCTCTCCCTCAGGCATTTGGATTTAATCCCAAAGTTGACAGCTATGTCGAGAAGGCGGTGGCTGTGTTTGGAGGATTTTACATGCTTTTCTTTTTTGAGAGAACGCTTAAGATGTTACTGAAGACCTACGGGCAGGTAGGTGGATTCCTTGGGCAGATGTGAGCGGGGCCTCAGAAGCTCTGAGGTGGAGGCGGAATCTCACTCCAGGATCTGTCTGGGCCCAGGCATGTGTAGGGAGAGGGTGGAGGTGTCGGCACAGCTCTGGGCGGAAAGTATACTGGCTTCATGCTGTGGAACATGGAGTGTGCAGAACTTGTATTCCATTCATGTTATCAGAACAGGAAAAGACCCGAACTCTAACACGGAAAACAGAAGAAACAATATAATCAACGGGAATATGTTCAAGGGGGGAAAGTTTTATAAATCTGAAAAGATTACATGGAGAGCAGACGCAGGTGTTTTCCTTTATGAGTGAAAAGGCAGTTGGTGTGAGACTGCCTCTTCTCATACCCCGCTGTCCTTGTCGCCTCTGTCCATGTAGAATGACCACACCCACTTCGGGAAAGACGACTTCGGCCCTCCTGACAGGACACATCACCCCAAAGCACTGCCTGCTGTCAATGGGGTGATGTGCTATGCCAACCCCGCTGTCACAGAGTCCAATGGGCAGGTGCACCTGGACAGCATCAGCGTGGTGTCCCTTCAGGTATGCGGTGCCCCTTCCCTTCCCCATCCCTGAGACTCTTGCCTGTTCCTCTGCTAAGACCGCTGGGAGCTGCTTGCCCGGTTACTGCGTCAGATTCCCTCTTCCACACTGGCGAAGTAGAATGTGCATCTGCAGTCTGCCCGCTTTCTCCCTGGGATTTTACATTGAACAAGTGTGTTAAGAAAGAAACCATGGGGTAGTAGGTCTGAGGCTTCACTGTGCCCTAAGATTGTTTATGGAATCTCCTCTCCATTAGATTTCTGTGACCCATGTAGCACAGTTAACTTGGAGCATTCTCTTCAATTCTTTCAAGATCCCTCTAAGAATCCCTAGAGTGAGTTTGAAACTGTAAGATTTGTACGCTATTACTATTGTGTTCAGTGATTGTAGTACATCTTTGGAAGAATAATAGCTACCAATGTTTGACCAAGTATTACATGCCAGTTAATATGGTAGGCAATTAAGTATTTTATCTCATTTACTTTTTATAACAACTGTTCCAAGTGGGTATCATTTGCTATGTGTTAGAACTTTGTTGGTTCCCAGGGGTGGAAGTCAAATTCAAAGTGTGTGCAGTTTATTGGAAAGACATGAGTGTCTCATGGGGGACCCGCAGGAGGAGCGACAGCTAGGAGCTGTTAGGTTCCCAGGACACTGATTCCTCCCATGGCTGCACCTGAGCATCCTTTTTGCTTTCTCCATGGGCCCCTGCCTTGCACAGGGGGCCACGTGGCCACCAACAGCTCCTGAGATTTGTGAGTTATAACTTCAGCGCCTGGAAGGACCCTGGCTCTTATCCCTAAGCCTTACATCCCTTGCAGGTGTCTCCCTGCCGCCTCGAGGTTGAGACGGGGGCCCCTGCTTTGGTGTGAAGGGGGCATGGACAGGATAGGAGAGTGGTTCCATAAAAAGGGTTCTGGGGCAGACTTCTTGGTGGCAGGGATGAGGCGCTGGGTTCAATCTCCAACACCTCCATAACAAACAAATGAAAAGGAAAAGGAAGAGGAAGGCATCTTGTGAGCACGTGTGGGGTGGTGGCTTTGGTGGCGTCCACCCAGCTCCCACTGGCCAGATAAGCACAGTGGGGTGGAGATGTCGAGAAGCCTCCCAGGTGGACACAGCTGGCAGACGTGCAACTCGGTGAGAGCGTGAGTGAGCGGAAGGAGGGTGGAGGGGATCTGGCCAAGGGAAGCAGAGGGGACACGGCGGGAGGCTCCTGGGACAGGCACCCTGTCCTTCTGGAAGGACGACCTGGGATAGGTACTGTGATAATCAGGCAACTGCAACCTACACGGGTTCAAGAAACTCAAGGACGCAAAGCTTCTAAGTGGCACAGCTGGGATGAAGACAGCATGAAGTCTTTTTCTGATTTTTGTTTTTGTTTTTGTTTTTCTGTACTGGGCACTGAAGGGCCTTTGAACTGAGCTAAATCCCTATATCCCCAGCCTGCCTTTCCTTTTTTTCTCTCTTTCCCCCTTCTTTCCTTCCTTCCTTCCTTCCTTCCTTCCTTCCTTCCTTCCTTCCTTCCTTCCTTCCTTCCTTCCTTCCTTC